GGGCCATGGCCTGCCGTCCCAGGACTGTGTAAGTAGTCAACTGCCGTCCCACGTTGCCTGTGACGTTGCACAGATTCTGGCGGCGCACTGCCCCTAATTTTTGTTGCATGGTCAAACCAGAGTACCGTCATTGCACGGACTTGTCTTTGAGCCTAAGTCCCTAAACCGTAGATTTCAGGCGGCGCACTGCTTGTGGCCGCCTGACACCGGTTCATACGTAGTTGAACTTTCCTCTATGTGCATGTGTTTTTCACGAGTTCAATCTCCTCATTGTCAAATTCATGTGTGTTGTAGTGTTCCGATTCATACGTAGTTGATCTTTCCTCCATGTGCATGTGCTCTTCATCAGTTCAATCTTCTCATTGTCAAGTTCATGTGTGTTGTAGTGTTCCGGTTCATACTTAGTTGATCTTTCCTCCATGTGCATATGCTCTCCACTTCTCATTGTCAAGTTCATGTGTGTTGTAGTGTTTTGGTTCATACTTTGTTGATCTTTTCTTCACGTGTATGCGTTTTTCACTAGTTCAATCCTCTCATTGTGAAGTTCATGTGTGTTGTAGTGTTCCAGTTCATACTTAAGTGGATCTTTTTTCCATGTGCATGTGCTCTTCACTAGTTTAATCTTCTCATTGTCAAGTGCATGTGTGTTGTAGTATTCCGGTTCAGACTTAGTTGATCTTTCTTCCATATGCATGTGTTTCTCATTAGTTCAAACTTCTCTTTATCAACAAAATGTGTGTTGTGATGTTTCGGTTCATACTTAGTTGATTTTCTTTCCATGTGCATGCACTTTTCACTAGTTCAATCCTCTCATTAACAAGTTCATGTGTGTTGTAGTGTTCTAGTGCATACTTAGTTGATCTTTCCTCCATGTGCATGTGTTCTTCACTAGTTCAGTCTTCTCATTGTCAAGTTCATGTGTATTGTACTGTTCCGGTACATACTTAGTTGATCTTTTTTCCATATGCATGTGTTGCTCATTAGTTCAAACTTCTCTTTGTCAAGAATATGTGTGTTGTGATGTTCCGGTTCATACTTAGTTGATCTTTTCTCCATGTGCATGCGCTTTTCACTAGTTCAATCCTCTCATTGTCAAGTTCATGTGTGTTGTAGTGTTCTGGTTCATACTTAGTTGATCTTTCCTCCATGTGCATGTGTTCTTCACTAGTTCAGTCTTCTCATTGTCAAGTTCATGTGTGTTGTGGTGTTCGGGTTCATACTTATTTGATCTTTCCTCCATGTGTGTGTGCTCTTCACTAGTTCAATCTTCTCATTGACAAGTTCATGAGTGTTGTAATGTTCCGGTTCATACTTAGTTGATCTTTCTTCCATATGTACGTGCTCCTCATTAGCTCAAACTTCTCTTTGTCAAGAATATTTGTGTTGTGATGTTCCGGTTCATACTTAGTTGATCTTTCCTCCATGTGCATGTGCTCTTCATTAGTTCAATCTTCTCATTGTCAAGTTCATGTGTGTTGTGGTGTTCCGGTTCATACCCGGTCGATCTTTCCTCCATATGCATGTGCCTTTCGTTAGTTCAATCTTCTCATTGTCAATTTCATGTGTGTTGTAATGTTCCGACTCATACTTAATTGATCTTTCCTCTATGTGCATATGCTTTCACTAGTTCAATCTCCTCATCGTCAAGCTCGTGTGTTGTAGTGTTCCGGATCATACTTGGTTGATCTTTCCTCTATGTGCATATACTTTTCACTAGTTCAATCTTCTCATTGTCAAGTTCATGTGTGTTGCAGTGTTCCGGTTCATACTTAGGTGATCTTTCCTCCATGTGCATGTGTTCTTCAATCTTCTCATTGTCAAGTTCATGTTGTTGTAGTGCTCTGGTTCTTACTTAGTTGATCTTTCCTCCATGTGCAAGTGCTCTTCCTTAGTTCAATCTTCTCATTGACAAGTTCATATGAGTAGTAGTGATCCGGTTCATACCTAGTTGATCTTTCCTCCATGTGCGTAGACTTTTCGCTAGTCCAACCTTCTCATTGTCAAGTTCATATGAGTTGTGATGTTCCGATTGATGCTTAGTTGATTTTCCCTTCATGTGTCTGTGCTTTTCACAAAGTTCAATCTACAAATTATCAAGTTCGTGTTCATACTTAGTCGCTCGTCTACTCATATGAATGGATTCCACTAGTTCCTTGTCAAGCTCATGTGTATCTTAGTGTCCCGTTTCATCTGTTGGTGGATTTTCACTATGGGATGGATGACCGACATTCGGCTGCTACCACTATGGGATGGGTGACCGACATTTGGCTGCTACCACTATGGGATGGGTGACCGACATTTGGCTGCTACCACTATGGGATGGGTGACTGACATTTGGTTGCTACCATTATGGGATGGGTGACCGACATTTGGCTGCTACCACTATGGGATGGGTAACCGGCATTTGGATGCTACTACGGCGTGATGATTTGATTAGGACTAGAAGTCTTCCTCTTTTCTCTCTCCTCTTTCTTTCTCTCTCTCTCTCTCTCTCTCTCTCTCTCTCTCTCTCTCTCTCTCTCTCTCTCTCTCTCTCTCTCTCTCTCCCNTCTCTCTCTCTCTCTCTCTCTCTCTCTCTCTCTCTCTCTCTCTCTCTCTCTCCCACTCTTCATCTTGCTCCCCCTCTCTCTCCCCCTCACTTGGCATATGACTAACCCCTCATCCCTCACTTGTTACATTGCTAGGGAAACGAACGGTAAAGGGAGAATCAGACCTCACTTGGTGGAGAAAGAGGGCAAGGGGAGGGTAGCCGGTCCCTTGTGCCGCCAAGAAGGGAAAGAGGAAAGGACATTTGAAAGGTTGGAGGCAGACGGAATCAGGGAGAGAGGTCAGTTAGACTCAACCATTTCCCCGACTGCATGACTATGAGAAGAGGATGTGTTGATTGAGCAAAAGAGAGGGAACAAAGAGCAGTCAAAGAACATGGAAAGATAGGCATGTGGGAAGGGCGATGTGTTGAGCCCCAATGGGGGATTGTATGGATCTTTGCTTTGTGTGGGACTGTGCAGGTGAGTGAAGGCTAAGGATGCCATGAGCGGGATAGAGTCGGAAGGAACCGGGCGGCAAAAGAAAAAGGGAAGAGGGGCAAAGGGGTTACGGGACCCTTAGCATAACGCCAATCCCTGGGAATGACCTTTGCGTTTGAGACTTGGAGTGTAAATGAGAGAATGAAGTGCAATCTTGTCAAGGGAAATGTGAAGTTGTGTGTGCATGCATGTAAAGGCTCCGAAAAGACTAAGGGGTCCGTGTCAATAAGGTTGAATGAGATATATGAGACCCGATGGGTGCGTAGGGGCGAGGGGGAGGACGGCATCGCCGCACCCCGATGATGCCGTAGGATCACAATGCTTAGGGAAATGGTGCGTGGCCTAAGGATGACGCTTAGCCTGCGCACAAGAGAAGAGAAACTCTCAAAGAGCCCTTGGACTGCCTGCATATTGGAAAGAGCAATTGCCTGAGAACATCACCAAGAAAAAATAAAAAAAATCAGCGTTGCCGAATGACCATCGAGACTACTACCCGGAGTGAGGGCTGAGCTACATCCCTAATGTCAAAGCTCTCTCGCGCGACGGCCCACCCCCATCCATCTCAAAGCACTAGGTAGGGGTAACCATGGGACGAATGGTCCGCGCCCTGAGCATGAGTGTGGGCGGGCTGAGCCAACTGGGACCCGCAGTGGGTCGACTAAGGCTCAAAAGTCTACCGTGGTTTGGCCCTGCACTGGGCTCACAGGTCCAGTATAGTGATGGACCCAAGGAAATGTGGGACCCACGTAGGCCCAGTGGTACCAACAGGGAATGTACCGGTAATTCCAGCAAGGTATAACGAGTCCGGACCAGTTCCTGTAGCCGACGGTGGTCTTCTAGCACCCCGTAATACACAGATGAGCTGCAACAGTCCCCACTTGGATCAAACATTGTATTCAGGGGACAACCGTATCCAATGAAGCCTGTACCTTACCTGAGTCAGACCAGTGGCCGTACCTGAATTGGAGTAGGCCTCATCAAAATTATCGCATCAGGCCTCAATGGCGAACCAAGGAATAATGATATCCAATCCGCAGTGAACCGTCCCAGTGCCAAACCAGCAGCTGCCGCAAAGTCACGATCATATCAGAATAATACCATCAACAAGAGTAGGCAGCGGGAATCCTCAACCAAACCAAATACCGAACCAAACAAAAAGTGTGTCGTGCCAGTACCAGTTCAGTAACCGCATCAATCCGATGCCGAATACCATACCGAGCAACAAGTGCGTCGTACCAGCTTCGAACCAGTGACCAACGAAAATAATAAGATCAGGCTGCAATACGTTGTTTCACTACAGTGTAAATGCTCAACCAGTGACCGTACCAAGCAAAAGTACCGAACTGCGGACCAATTGTCGTGCCAACCAGCGTAATTACCGTACCACCATGAGTCTCGGCAACGCCGGACCAATAACTACACCAATCTGACCGGCTGTCGTGAACCGTAGACCGGTCTGGTTGATCTGACCGTCAATATAATCAATGACTATGAGAATCCAGCAAAATACGGTCCCGCTCACTCAATAATATCGGAGTCATACCGAGGGTAGCAATCAGATCAATCAGGCAAAATCAAGCGTGGGTTCATAGCTATCGGAACTCACACGGATCAACGGACTCCGGATAATTAAATAATTCCCGACAAAAATTCATTAGGGATAAATTCCGTTAAAATCAATCAAATAATAATTAATCATTTGTTTTCTCCTCTTTTATTATTTTTAATTCTTTTATGCACTATTAATTTTGATATTGGAATTAATGAAAATAGAGGACAATTTTATCAAGGATAAATTCTGATGAAATTTAATTAAATAGCTAGGTTACCTGATCGGACTTTCGGACCCCCCCTGACCGTCCGGGTTTGTCTGATCGGGCAACCGGTCGGTCATCCGCCTGGGGCCCTACGTCCGATAGGTGCGAAAAATGGGGGGGGGGCTTCAAAGGGGAATCGGACGCCGTGAGGGTGGAAAGCGGCCAGGGGCTAAGTGGGGGAGCTGGAGCGAAAAAAATTTCGAGGCCGACAGGGCCTCGAAAATCAAAAATGAAAATGGCCCAATCTACGCCATCCGATCTTTGCGATCGACGGCCCAGATCGGGCCGATTTCAAATTCGAATTTCGAGACGACGACGCGCTGTCTGGCACGCGAATTCGCACTGCCTTGTCGGTGGAGTTCGGCGTTGCAGCTGCCGAATTCCGACACCCAACGGCCGCAACCCACGCGCCATCACCCGCCCGCGCCAAGTGAGTTTGTTCCCTTCGTCCTCCTCCTCCTCCTCCTCCTCCTACTCCTCCTCCTCCTCCTCCCCCTCCTCCTCCTCTTCCGCCTTCTGCTCCTCCTCTTTCCTGCTCCACTTCTTCTTCCACCTCCTCCTTCTCCTCTTCTTCCTCCTCTTCTTCCTCCTCTTCTTCTTCCTCCTCCTCCTCCTCGTTCTCCTCCTCCTTCTCCTCTCCTTCTTCCTCTTCCCCATCCTCCTTCTCCTCCTCCTCCTCCTCTTCTTCCTCCTCCTCCTCGTCGTCCTCGTTGTCGTTATCCTCCTCCTCCATCNTTCTTCCTCTTCCCCATCCTCCTTCTCCTCCTCCTCCTCCTCTTCTTCCTCCTCCTCCTCGTCGTCCTCGTTGTCGTTATCCTCCTCCTCCATCTACTCTTCATCTTCCTCTTCCCCATCCTCCTTGTCCTCCTCCTCCTCCTCTTCTTCCTCCTCCTCGTCGTCCTTGTTGTCGTTATCCTTCTCCTTGTTATCCTCCTCCTCCATCTACTCTTCTTTTTCTCGTCCCCATCCTCCTTTTCCTCCTCGTCCTCCTTTTCTTCCTCCTCCTCCTTGTCGTCCTCGTTGTCGTTATCCTCCTCCTCGTTATCCTCCTCCTCGTTATCCTCCTCCTCCTCCTCCTCCTCCTCCTCCTCTTCCGCCTTTTGCTCCTCCTCTTTCCTGCTCCACTTCTTCTTCCTCCTCCTCCTCCTCCTCCTTCTCCTCCTCCTCCTTCTCCTCTCCTTCTTCCTCTTCCCCATCCTCCTTCTCCTCCTCCTCTTCTTCCTCGTCCTCGTCCTCCTCCTCCTCCTCCTCCTCCTCCTCCTCCTTCTCCTCCTCCTCGTTATCCTCCTCCTCGTTATCCTCCTCCTCGTTATCCTCCTCCTCCATGTACTCTTCTTCTTCCTCTTCCCCATCCTCCTCCTCCTTCTCCTCCTCTTCCTCCTCCTTCTCCTCCGCCGCCGCCATATCTCTCTCCTCCTCCTCCTCGGCCGCCAAATCCATCTCCTCCTCCTCCTC